TTTTTGTGTGTGTGTGATCCCATGCCCTTGCTCTCTATGCCTGACAGCCATTCTGTTGTGACAGAACAGGTGCAGATGAATATGAAACGGATCGGTAGAGCTTTTAGGGTCTGGCCCTTTGTATGCATGCTCATGTCTGAAGCATCATGTAAGAGCAAAGTGGCCTCCAATCTCCATCTTTAGCTCCTCTTATTTTTAGTGTCTAGCACCAATGTTAAATCTGTTTCACAAAGCACATTTATTATTCTAAATACACCCACTGGGCCTAGTGAAATGCAAGAACAGTTTTATTGCTCTTTGGGCTTTTTTTTGCTAAAGAAAATGGACAGTTGTGCTCTGATATCCAATACTTCGAATGACTTAGGCACTATTGACTCAGACAACAAAGTACCTGGTAGATCCTTAAAATGCAATCACCTCTCTGAGTTCTTACACACACTCACCAATCTCACACTTTTTCCTGTTCTCTCCTCACCCCAGTGTGAGACATTCCCCACACTGGCCTAGAAATTGCCATGGACCATGGTTCTCTCATAACAGGAGAAATAGACTCTCTTTACAGTAGGCCCATACACATCCCTGTCCGGTGACGTGCCTCCAGCGCCCCCAACCCCCCCACCTCCCCCCTCTCCCCTTCCTCTCTCTCTCTCTCTCTCTCTCTCTGACATACACAGGCAACCCAGGGCGAAGAAGGGAAGCTGTGTTTTGTCCCTCATTAATCCTTCCTTTCGTCTCATTTTAGTCATACTGGATCGATAATCCCGTAAGGGCAGACTGTCTGTAGCATCTCTCCAACACGTATCGACCCAGTACTGGATAAAAGAACAGGCAGAGCTGCGCCCCGTACGCGCAAGCAAAGGCGATCTTGTTGCACTACGCACCACGGCGCAAAAGCAGACATTTGTGTGCGCACTAGCGATTGCCTCTGAACTCCACCACATCTGGCCGACCGCAGATTCATTTGGATATCCCCACAGCAGCCCACCATAACGCAGTCTGCACATATCCACGCGCATGGCAGGACGATTTGGATTTAAACGCCAACAAGTGGAATTGTGCTCTTTCACCGGGGCTCTGATCATGGATTTGACCTTTTCGATTTAATGTGACGGGAGACGCCGCGTTAATATCCCACTCAGCGACATATGGTCCGTGGACACAGATTTGAAGATATCGACCCGCCGTTTCTCCAAAGCGCGTCCTCGGCGGGGCTGGAGCGGACAGGACTGGGGACGCTGAGGAATGCGGAGCCGGGATTTTGTCTTTTCCAGCTCACCTGCGGAACTCTTCGCAGCGCATACCAAAGTGAGTAATTCCCAGAACTAAAACAACGTGCTTTTAGTTCGTTTAACACTGCTGTAGGATTCCGGGTTTCCACAAAGACCAAAATCATAAGGTCCTATGGCACCTTAAGGAGTCTATACATAGCAGTCACTATGATCTGATTTGAACATACAGTGTAGATTATCTGTATCACATGATGGAGTTCATCAATGACCTTGTCAGATATCAAGATATTTTGGGATCACTTTTAAAATCCTTTAAAATCTATCCTAAAAGGCACAGCACACAGGAATGGCTCCTGATCTTTATATCGGTGTTATTCTAATCAGAAATAGGACACCCAGACTGAACAAACACGGGGTCAGTAGGCTACATAACCATCTCCCTGTCTTTTCATCCTGCAGCGGACCGACGCAGCCGGTGAGCCCGCGGGGCGCCATGCTGAGGCAGATCCTCCTCAACTCCACCAACACCCCAGACTTCGACCTGGTGCTCATGGCACAGTCCTCCACGCACGCACCCTCCTCCCTGAACGCCTCCCACGGTGGCTCGGTGAGCGTGGCCGCTCTTCTGAGACCCACCTCAGGGCGAGGGGGAGGCGGGCTTCGGGAGGGCGAGCTCCACAAACCGGACCTGATCACCTACATAGTAATGTGCCTGCTGCTCTTCCTCTTAGTGTTGCTAATTGTGTTCTTCATCAACTGCCAGCTCCGGAACTCTTTCTTCGCCTCCATGCCATATGACAGGTCGCTGAGAGAGGCCCGGACCTCCTACAAGTAGGCTAGACCCCCGGAACAAATCTCCGGGACTCTGTGCTCTTTAATGAGGCTCCTTGTGGGGGTTTAAAGACTGGTCACCCCTGAACTGCTGCTGCACGTACTGGACACATGAAGTTGTTGCCTTTATCCGCTGTCTTGGACATTTTGGAAGGCCTAAATTACCTGGAATCCCCAACAACGCCTAGCATGAATAGTCAGGCCCACAGCCCCATCCCAAAAAGATAGCACTTCAGTTCATGGGGGGGCGTTTGAGAAAATGAGTGGTGTATATGTGCCTACTGCAGGTGGGAAGATAACGGTATAACTCTGATCAAATTAGTCACTCATATTTTCTGGTAATTAACGACTGAAATGTGAAACAATCCATCATCCTCTGCAACCCCCCTGTGGCCCCCCACTGCACTTCGGAAACAAATAGTTTATTCCTTTCCAGTACGCACCCCCAAAGCTTGTATTAATAGTTGCTTATTAATCTGACCTGCAACGCCTGCGGTTTGGATCCAAATTCACAGTATTTTACACTGGTCCTGATAAGATGAATCCGTTTTTTTTCTCCATTAAAACGTGACTTATGGCTACAGTAGTTTGTATATAAAATATTTTGTATGACTGTAACTAAATTGTCTTGTGAAATGATGCAATCAACACACAACTCCCCTTTTGTTCGTTGTAACATTGTGATTAAATGACAGACTGTAGGCCTATACCCTCACATAAAGATATTCAAATACACTTTGAAGTGGCAGTCTTTTCGTCTATCCACCTGTTTATGAATGGCGATGCGGGAGATGATGATGTAAAGGGCCAACTGTTAAACATTTAATACGCGTTCTTAGATGCCATAGGGCCACCAGCCTTATCACTTTTAATTAACCTCTCCCCCACAATTTATAGCGCCAGTATCCCGGAGAATCAAGACTTGAGGCTGAAGTTTATTACGAGTCCTGTGCGATAACCATGTTGTCTGTTACAGTGCCACCGGTGATGCGCAAATCCTCTCCAATCGTGTTGTTGGAAAACATCTCTAACATACCAAGACAGACAGATCTTTGTAATCCTGTACCTAGAGAGTGTGCATGCGTCTAATGTGTGTACAGAGGTTTGTGAAGTAAGAGACACACTGCATTTTAAGTACTGGACATTATATCTAATAGGCATATCCTATTATTTATTCAGTGACTCCTGAATGCTTCATCTGAAAGCAAAATTCCACCGAGATGAGTTAAACACAGTGATTATTGTTGCTTGTGGTGCGTAGATATTATTTGGATCCTAGAAGCGCTTAAATAAGACATTGAAAGTGGGGCAAAAGGCCACATCTACCTTCAGTGTGAGATTTATAATGACCTACTAAATAGGCTACATGCTCTACCTCAAGAATTGGGTTGATTTAGTCAGCATATTTAGAACAATAGGCCATGTGCCTCCTTAGTTCACTAATTTACGGCAATTGCATTCAGAATCAGAATAAGAATCACAATCAGAATTACTTTATTGATCCTCGAGGGGAAATTCTGTGTCACAGTTGCACACATTGCACAGTAAGGCAAAAGGAGTATCAATAATAACAGAAAGTTGGTATATAAAGAAGTATATAAATATCAGAGTAAAAATATAAAATACAAAGAAAATATAAAGGAGTGTGGATATGGTTGTATGTACAATATTTACATTACATTAAGCTGACACTTTTAACCAAAGCGACTTACAATTGCTAAGTCAGAGGTCGCACGCCTCTGGAGTTAACTAGGGGTTAAATGTCCTGCTCAGGGACACGCCGGTGTACGTGTCACAGTGGGAAATTGAACCCGTGTCTCGCAGACCAAAACCATGCATTTTGTCCACTGTACTATCACCACCTGCGCCATTATTACCATAATTAAAAGATTACGTAATTATTATGTAAAGCTAGACATTGCCCTGTAGCCTATATTTTAATGTTCTTTTCCCACAGCTGTAACCGCCACTCAGAGCCAATTGCATTTGTGAATGCAAACAAATCGTTTTAGAGAAAAAAATAAAGTAGGCTACATCACAAGTGCTTCCTATTGGTACATTAACTTTGCTTGACGTGGTGTAGTAACTCTGATGACGCCTGCAACCGCTTGGTGGCGCCCCAGGTCTGATTATTTGTTTGCACAGCCTATGATTACAGTACAAAATGGCCCAGGTCACACATGTTGAAACATCACATTTAGAAAACACAAAAATATCTCCCGTTCAATAAGGAAGGTAAGGTTAGGCCTAATCATTACCTTAATTTAATTAATCATTGTAACACTTGCACAATGAAGATCTGCCTAAAGCTACACCAACCGAATTCCTTTCTAGATATATGAGATAAGGTGAATTGTCTGTTGTCTGAAATGTCTTAGCTACATCTAGACACACATTAGGGTCACATAGAGAAGATTTTGTAATGTGGCAAAGTTATATTGTTCGCAGAGAAACAGCAAAAAGAGCTGTGGAGAGAATAGCCTTTATATTTTATGCTTTATGAAATTCTTGAAATAATAGATAGCCTAATAGGCCTTCAAAAGACTAATCTTCACAATGCCCTCGGAAACCTGTCTTCCTACATCCAGTAGCCTATGAACTTTTGGTAAAACTTTAGTGTGCAGGTGTAGGATGCCAGAAGTTACTTTTAAACTCGTCTGTAAACACGTCTGTAAGTTGTTCACTTGATAACTGCATAGCGCTGAAACCTACCAGTAGCCTTGGTAAGCCTACAAGCTGAATTAATCTTCAGAGGCTGTGCTGTCTGCTGGTGGTGAGTTATTCTACTACACTGGTCATCTAACACTGGTTCAGACTATTTTTTCTTCTCTTTTTTGTAGATTTTATGACACACCTATGACACAATACATTGTTACGTCATACCCTGTGTGTAAACTGAGGTCATGAACACTGGCGCCATGGAAACGCTGCAGTGGTACTGTGGACATTGTTCTACAGCATTAGTCAGCAGTTAGACTAGTCCTCATTTTACCGGGGAGCTCTGTAACTCTTTGACGGAGCAGTTGATCCCTGGACACACAGCTCATGCCAGAGCTGTCAGTTAAATCCTCTCAGGTGTAGTTGCTGAGCGTAAGCTCCTCCCCAACCAGCTCTGACCGGACTGTCAGAAGAACAGGAAGACTGCCGTAGAGCTAAAAACGTAGCGCTTCCTTGCTGTCATTTAGGGGTTAAGTTAAAAAGTTAACTAAAGTTGTAGCAGTTATGGAAACTAATTTGGGAGACACCGTCGGGCCAAGTCATCCGTAACACCAGCTCGTCGCCCGTATTGTAGTCGCCGAAACCACTTGTGGAAGTAGGAAGAGCGGAGTTTTTTTTCCCACGGAGACTACCTACTGTAGCAAGACAAGCTAGCCTTGCTAAAGCTAACGTTAGCACAGTTAGTACCGCATACTTTCGGGACTTAAAATTAACATTGTTAAAGCGTTGCTTGGTGTTACACGTGGATACTGGTGGGAGAAAGTTCTTATTTGTATTTTATAAACTCAACAGGGTGTTTACGGACTTTTCATCCCGAGGACTTGGTGTTGTGCTTTGAATTTCCCTCCTTCTGTGAAAGAGACAGGCGATTTAGAAAGGGGTTCGTTTGGTGTAATTTAGTTGGCTTTCTACCAAATCATTAGCAACATTGTGCTAATTGTGGGTAGTTAGCCAGGAGACTAGGCTAGGCCCAAGGGAATCAACAGTTGCATTTTTAGAAGTTGAGAAACATCGTCGGAGGAATCATTTATTTTTTTCCTTTTTTCTGTTTAAGTGCAGTGAGATTACTGCCGCACGGGTTTATTTTGACTCCCCAATTCAAGGTAACGGATTAATTTATAAATATGGATCCCCAATCGGGCAATTCTGCCTCAGCTGCAGCTGGTCCCAAGAAGGACAAGAAATCAAAGAAGAACTATGAGGATGGAGATGGGAAGAAGAAATTTGTGAGTATCCCACAGGTTTAACTTGTTGCACTTTTCTGATCTCTTTGGGTATGTGGGCTCAAAAGTGTTGCACCCAACTCCATTGATTTCCCCCCCCTCTCATGTTTCAAGTGAAGCTACAAAGAAACAAATGCCACCATACCAGTAATTAGTTTGAGTCCCTAAAGCTGTGCACCAGCTGTCAATACAGCTTGAAATGTTACCCTGCAAGATTCACGACTCAGGTCAAAGTAAGTCAGCAAATGAGGAAGTAGCTGGCCCCTCCAACTTTGAAGACTTGCACTTGCACTGTGCAAGTTATGCAGTGCTGAGAAATTGCAGCACATCAATAAGGATCAGCGTTATTGGCCAAGTATGTGTACACATACAAGGAATTTTACTCCATTTTTCCATTGCTGTCCGTGTACTTACACAGAAATAACAGACATAACAGCTAAGAACAAGGACAACAAAGCTGAATAAATAAAGGTAAAAAAGAGGACTATTACCACTACTACTATTCAGAGTCAGAGGTTTTATTATTTTTCAACATTTGACTAACTATAGAGACCCATCCATTTCACAACCACATATCCTAAGTTATATTTTTTTTACAGAGAAGACTATGTATTTCAAACACTATATAAAACGAAACCATGTTACTAGAATTGTGTCAAATGAATGACCTAACTTTCTGTGGTAAGGTGTGGCATTGGCACATTGAATTCTTTCATTGTGACTTAAATGCAATGTCACCTGGTGTCTACCAAGCATGTGTGGTGATTCAGTCTGGTGTCTTGATGGGAGCAGAGCTGTACAAAGTCATCATTAGTAATGCTTGTCATCAGCCATGAAAAAAAACCTCTCGCGTAACTTAACCCCTTAGCTATCTCTAGCAACAGGTGAAAACCGATATTGCACACGCAAACAGTATCCATAGAGGATGCACAGAAAACACATCTGGTCACCGAGTAAACAGTTCCTACACACACACACACGTGAACACACACACACACACACACACACACAGAGATTGTTCAGGCTTTTTGTCAAGAACTTTTTCATGTAAATAATACCACATGGGTATGAGACCAAGTACGTGTATGCCAACAATAGTAGTAGGTTGTTGTAGTCAAACTCTGTCTTTCTTAAAGGCATGGTTTTGGTGACAAGAACTGGCACATTGGGACAGTCACAGTCTACACTAGCATACAGTCAGTTGAGTAGTGAAAAGCAGTCCATACTGTAAATGTATGCTTTTGCGCTTTTTCAGCCTTTGGAAACACACACAGAAAAATAGATGAAAATAAAGTAAGTATATTATGAGTACATGTCTGTGTGTGCGGCGAGACTGCCCACCTTAGAACGAGGCATGACCTTGAATTAAGCATGCCACTAACTCTGAAATTTGAACTAGGGCTGGACGATATGGCCAAAAATGTTAACACAATAAAAAGTTACATATCTTTCGATATCGATAATTATCACAATAACTATCAAATCGTTATTTTTATCGTTGAAGAAACCTGAAACTCTTCTTTATGGTCAACACTTGATGCCAAACAGTGGATCACTTCACAGATCTGAGGTAGAACATTCAGAACAATTATGATAAATCTTTGTCAACAAAGTAAAGTGAGTAAAGCAGTGAGTAAAATTAAGTGAAAACCTTTTTCAGTCCTTTTTAAAATAAAAAAAATTAAGTCCTAATTTGTGTATGATTTAAGTGAATAAATCAAACATTTATTGAATATTTACTAACATTTGTTATTTTATTGAAAAAAAATATATTGTGAAAGTTATTGTTTTATTGTCCAGCCCTAATTTGAACCCTTTCTGGCAGAACATTTATTATACCGCAGTCAAGGGTTCAGACAGAGGGGGGTGTAGAATAATGTGTGGCGTACTTGATATACAGCGTGACATTGTCTCTCTCAACTATCTTGTCTGCTGCATTAACTTATCTATGTCTCCAATGCTCTCCGCTTTTGCCTCTTCTCAGACATACCAGTGATAAAAACGTGATGTGATATGTACGACTTAATGACGTGGGTGTAGTCTCCAGTCGGCTTCATATTTAAATAAATTGAATTGAATATTTGGAATTCCAGCCCAAAATCATCCTTGTGGAATTGTGTCTCCATTGTGTCGCCTGGGAGTGAATGAATGTTATCGGGTTTTAGTCATCATATGTTTTTCTAGACACCGTCACAGTTTTTGGATGATTCTAAGACGGGATTGATAATTTTGTAATTTTTTAATACACTATGTTGTTGGAACATATTGTATCAGTGTAATGCTCCCCTGCCGTGTGTAACTGTCTGTAAACCTGAGCGTGAGTCTGTGTGTCTCAGTTCACACACACAGGAATGTTTAACGTGACTTGCTGTGCTTACAGGTACCTCTTTAGCTGAGCATGATATTTAGCTTTGAGTCAAAAGCATGTAATTTTAGCTGTGCTCTCTGAAACGCTATCTGTGTTCTTCAGGCCCTGAGAGACAGAAGGGATCAGCATCAATGAAGGTTGTTGACATAAACAGGCTGGCTCAACCCAGCAGTCAGGCGTTGTGTGGATTAGCCAGGGATCACTGCCTTGGACAGTTGTTTGGGATACAAGGTGAATTGTAGATCACAGATTCTGGCACTGGAACATCTTGTTGCGTTTGGCAGGTTATCTGTTGGTGGAAGGTATGACTTCTCTCAAGTAAAAGTAGACTATTTTTTTTTGAGCATGGATATGAAATATTAATTATCAAGGAGACCAATAATGACCAGTACCATGTGTTTGATTTTGAGACAGTATTGTAGAACTTTTTTTATGGCATTAATGATTATAGGATTGTGAATGTGTACTTACAATAAGAAAATGTATGGAAAAAAATATTTAGATGCATAAAGAATGGTTTTGTAATTGGATTGTAGCACCCTGAATCGAAATCAAATTCCCAGAGATTCCCAGTTGTAGTGTCTTGATACAGAACTTATTGCCGTATTGATTATATGTCCCACCCCTTAACCAAAGTAATGCATTTGTGTTCTAGCTTCTGAGGAAAACCACAATACACTCGAACACTATCAGTCACAATGAAAGCAACCAAAATCACTCAATTAAATTATGTGGCAGACTTGCATGCAGCGTTGTATCTGGGGTTGTGCCCAAGTCGTCGCCAGTGAACCTAGGTTTAAGTGTTTAATCCACGTTAACATGTTTATCATTAAAGGTCTGATAAATAGCAAAGACAAGTGCACCCTCCTTCAAGCATGAAATAGTGTTCTTGCGTTTGCAGTTGTGCAGCGGTGCACCTACTTCCTGGGGGAACCACCTCAGCAAAAGTTTAATTTAAGATAATACTGTGAATTAGGCCAGACAGGTCATGACTCTTTAGTCACAAAGTAAAGTAGTTAAAAATTTGCTTTGGTGCACAGTGGGTCTTTTTTGCCCTCTTTCTTTTTATGCTTGTCTGGTTTATTCCCCCAATACACACACATACCTAGGCACACACAGTTTCCTGTTCTCTACATCTCAGGTGAAGAAGAGCATACTGTGAGCTGAAGAATAGGATGACTGAGTGCCAGCGTGAAACTGGAGTGCTTAATGGACTGACTGCTAGTGGCAGGGGTCTCTTGGCTCAGAGTGAACGGGAGTATTTTAGAGAGCAAGGGAAAGCAAGTGAGCCATCAGTGACCAAGTACTGGGGGATGCAGAGACTAGTGGTAGATGGATTAATCAGTTGATCACTAGCAGAGACAGCGATAGACACATGGAGAGAAGAGTGTTTGACAGAAAGCATAAGAGAGTGGGAAATAAGCCCGAAAAGAGAAATGCAGAAAAGGAAGACAAAAAATGTTGAATCACTCTGAGAAGGAAACATCTTCTGCACTTCTCTCTATGGCTCAAACTTTCAAGAGTGTCAAAACCCAAGTCAGTGATTTAATGTCATGTGTTGTTTTGCTGTCAAAACTAAAAAAAACTCCTGGCGTGACGTAACTGATGAGATGTGAGCAGCACAGAAAGCCTTTCTGCCATTGTTATTCAATGTGTATTTACCCTATAGGTTGTTACCTTGATGAGATGTATCATACATTAACATGCAAAGACTTCATTCTTAGATGCTTCAATTTTGCAATTTTAAATACCTAGCTTATAGCAGTTGTCATTTACTCTCACGTTGGACCAAAATCCTGCCCAGACCAACAGTAAGTAGATGGAATAAAGACACTTGTTGGAATAATCTGCCATGGATGAGCAGAATGATTAACATACATAGTGGTCTATGCTGGCTCTGTCCTTACTGCACTTTGCATATCAAAAATGGACAGCTGTTAGCTCAGCTGATGACTGTTTGGTTTGCTTTGAAGCCTGTTCTGACTGGTTGTGAAAGCTGAGCTGTCTACCAGTTTGTTGGGGCAGGCAGACAGAGGAATGCAGTTACTGCACCACTGAAATACCACAGGAAGCTCACCTTTACCTGGGTGGTTGTTTGATTCAGATGTGTTTTGTTTTTTTTAAATCTCAGATTTCGACTTCACAGCTGAGTTTGCGCCTTTTGTCTTCTGATTATAGTACGTCAATTACCTGATGACTGTATAGTTTTGAGACATCTCACAGATGGTTAGTCAGTGGATCCATGTAATGGTGGTGGTCCTAGCATGTTGCTTCAAGCAACAAAGTCTCCATGCTTCTAGTGATTATCCCTCCACCACCGTTAACACAAGCAGGGAATTTCTTTGTAACAAGACTGTAAGAAAATACCCACTTTAATTTTCCTCAGACTGCTAAAGAGTCACATTAGCCTAGGTTTGTGCGATATGCAGTATATAGCATGCATTGTAGGTCTGGGCGATATGGACAAAAAGTCATGTCCCGGTACTGTTAGGCAGAATTCCGGTATAAAATATATATCGGTATTTTCTGCTAAGCGGGCTGGGGAGGGGGGTGCATTTTTTGGGGAATGTTTTTACTACTTTTAGTAACTTAGCTTGTTTGTTATTTCACAGTTTTAATTATACTTCAGTCTACA